AACGGGCCTTCGTGGGAACAGACCCGAGCACCGGGGCCTCCCCGCTCCCCGTGCAGCCGCCTCGCCCTCACGGGAGGCCCCGGGACCAGGCGGGCGCCCTCCCCGCTTCCCCTGCACACACTCACCTTCGGGGACGAAGAAGGGCTGCACCGAACCTCAAAGTCGCGGCTCTCCTGACTGGACCCAGCCAAGCCCCTCCCGCCCTCGCTCACCTTGCCAATGTACCACAGCGTCCTCCGCTCCTATTGGCCGCCGCGACGCAAGGAACGCTGCCCGGCGGGGCCCCGGTGGCTCACGGGAGACGGAGCCTCGCCGCCGCCCGCTATTGGCTGCCGGACCCTCGAGCTCGCGCCCCTCTGCCTGAGGATTGGGCAACTCCGAAGGGTCGCGGGTCCCCCATTGGCCGGCCGTAAATCCCTCCCCTTCTCCTCCCCGCCCACTGCTCCCGGGAGCGTTCCACCGAGCGCGTCAGAGGAAGGAGACCAGAGAGAGTTGAGTCACGTGCTTTTGTTCTTTCTTGACATCCTGGAGGTGACTGCGCGGCGGCGAAGCGCTCGAGGAGTCACGTGGTGTCGGGGAGGGGCGGAGAGCGGCGCGCCTCAGATCGTGACGTGGAAGAAACTGCGCGTGCCCGTATCGTGTGTAGAGATTCAGGCACGTCACGTGTCTGATTTTCTGGGTGTCCCGTTCCTGGGAATTGGGTGTGAGTTCCTAGTGAGTGCGCACTTAGGGATGATACCCTCCAACGTGGACGCGGCTTGATCTCTTTAGTTCAGGCATAGGCAAACTTGGCCCTCCAGATGTTTTGGGACTACAGTTCCCATCATCCACGGCCACTGGTCCTGTTAGCTAGGGATGATGGGAGTTGTAGTCCCAAAACATCTGGAGGACCGAGTTTGCCTATGCTTGCTTTTGTTGTTGTTTAGTCGTGTCTGGCTCTTTGTGACCCCATGGACCAGAGCACGCCAGGCACCTCTGTCCTCCACTGCCTCCTGCAGTTTGGTCAAACTCATGCTGGTAGCTTCGAGAACACTGTCCAACCATCTCGTCCTCTTTTGTCCCCTTCTCCTTGTGCCCTTCATCTTTCCCAACATCAGGGTCTTTTCCAGGGAGTCTTCTCATGAGTGGCCAAAGTATTGGAGCCTCTGCTTTAGGATCTGTCCTTCCAGTGAGCACTCAGGGCTGATTTCCTCCAGAATGGATAGGTTTGATCTTCTTGCAGTCCATGGGACTCTCAAGAGTCTCCTCCAGCACCATAATTTAAAAGCATCAATTCTTTGGCGATCAGCCTTCTTTATGGTCCAGCTCTCACTATGCTCTGGTGAATGTGGAGCGCTGGCTCCATTGAACAGAATTGTGTGTGCATTGATACGTACGCTTTATCGGTGGTGTTGCTGCCGTGGCGGCCCATTCACACAAGGATCACTGCTTCAGTTATCAAGGGGATGCTTGATATATGTCCAAGCCAGGCTGTCTAGTAAACCCCATAGTCTCCAATGGGATTTGCTTCCAAGATAGGATCGCAGTCTTAGACTGCAACCCCATTTATTTTGGAATAAGCCCTATTGAATTCAATGGGAGTTATTTTGAGTAGCCATGGCTAGGATTGGAGCCTAAACAATGTAAGCAGTGCTTGCGGGGGGGGGGGAGGCTCCTCAAGGGCACACAGTTCCAGCACCTTATTTTCTAGAAGAAAAGCACTGTGCTTAGGTAATTCAGGCATGAAGGGGTTAGCACCATAGAGTACGCTGCCCTGCCAGGCTTGGTTAGGTAGTTCCTCTCACCTCACATTGGGAGGAATGTAATTAAGCCTATTGTTTCCCTTCAGTCTACCTGAGCTCAGCATGTGAACAGGGTTTGAAAATGCAAATTCATTTGAAAATGCTTACGGTATTTTCTGTTTAAGCTGACTCTCCTCTTGTCCCTGCACCTCCATCCCTACCATGGAGACACCCAACTTACTCCATATTACTCTGGCTGGCAACTAGATTTGCCATGTTACTTTAAAGAGCAGTCAAACCAATACTATCTCCAGAAGAAAGATCCATCACCTTCTTGTATATTGTTTTATAAGTTTTGTTTCAGCAGCGGTTTTTGTACAAACCTCCTGGAGCAAGCTGAACTCTCCACTTACCCCATCAGTTGATATACCGTGCTCCAGCAATAGAGCAATCAGGAACTCCCTTTAAGCCCCTAATTCCTTTGGAGCTACTTGGGTACCTCCCCCATACCTCACCTATGACATCAGGTGTAGGGCAGGTGGGCATGGTTTGCTAGGAATGCCTTCTCAGGCCAAATGGAGACCCCTGTCAAGCCCAATTCCTCATTCCTACTTTATTTGGCATAGATTTAAATGCCCATAGTGATCTTATTGATAGATATGTCGGTCCATGCACCTACCAGCAGGAGGAGACATTAACCTATCTTCTTTGGAAACAGTTAACGTTAACTCCTTTCTTGAGAATGGCTGCCCAAGGTAGATACATAGTTTAGAAGCTGTTTCCACAGGTGACACTGGGGCTGCAATTCTGAATTCTGCATGTTTTTAAAGTGGACGTCTGTATGACTCGGCTGTAATCATAAGTATAATTATGAGAAAGTAAGTCCCATTTAACTATAGGCTTGTAATTACTAGACTGAGACACAGGTCTGGTTTCCACTTCCAATAGAATGTTTCAGGGCTGGCTCAGGATGTTTTGCCACCTGAGGCAAAACAGAGCATGGTACCCCTGGCACCTTCGCTTTCCACTGCAGTCATCTGAGGCAACTGGTGGTGGCCCATGAAAGCCCCAGTATGCTGAAGACAGTGGGGGAGAAAAAAGGAGGCCAGAGTGGAGAAGGCGGGCAACAAATGCAGGAGGTAGCAAGAGCTTCGGGGCAGGGCTTTGCTACCCTTCCCAGCTGTCCCCACCTGAGGTGACTGCCTCAGTACGTCTCATGGGTGGGCCAGCTCTGGAACGTTTCTTTTTTCTTCTCCAGGATAGAAATAAGAACTGCCTTTAGGAATAAATACAGAAAATGTAGGTTTTGTGTGTTGTTGTTGTTTTAAAAAAGTTGGACATTTAAAGCTGTAATGTGACTGCACACAAGGTCATGAAACACAAGATTTCTTTGTGCAACTGAATGCTGAATTTGGCAGGGTGCAAGTCTGGGTGTGCAATTTAAGGAGACTGACCTTTGCTACAGCTTGACTGATATTCTGTATGGGTGATTTTTGACTTGAAGTACTTCGATCTGTAGTGTTAAAGCTGGACTGTTTTGCAGAGTTGTTGTACTGTGGTACCTTGGTTTGCATACGTCTTGGTTTGCATATGTTTTGGATTACAAACATGTCAAACCCGGAAGTGCGTGTCCTGGTTTGCAACCTTTTTTTGGATTACAACCCATTTTTTTTATTATGAACAATTTTTTGGGGGAGGCCCAATTGGCGAAAGCGCACCTTGGGTTACAACCTGTTTTGGTTTACAAACGGACCTCCGGAACGGATTATGGTTGTAAACCAAGGTATCACTGTATTCTGCCTCAGCCTGACACCTCACTCCCAACCTGCAATAAGGATATAACAAGGCTGACAGTGCCGCCGGATTGTTGTAAATCACTTAGCTTCAGTACCAACCTGTGTTATTAACATAGCTTTACATTGTCACTGTTTTAACAGCTTCTACTCCCACAACCTACTATATGGTGGGAAATGGACTGAATTGGCCGTGAAATTTGCACAGGCATGGCTATTATCTAAAACTTAGGACTTTAAAAAATAATGTAGGTTGAAACCTGTACACATTTACCTGGGAATAAGTTCCACTTCCATTTACTTCTGAATTCAGTTGCATTTACATCTCAGTAGATATTCATAGGATTTTGTTGTTCATATTTCACGCCAAACCATTCCCGAGTGAGGAAAAGCAGCAGCTCCTCTCCTGGACCTTTCTTTTCATGGGAGATCACACTGCTATGTAATCACAGCTATATTAAAAGCTTAGGTTTCTGCACTGATTTCTATCGGCAGCCCTCACTTTCACCAGGGTGGGGGGAGAGGATATAAAAATGCCTTTGCCACTGGAACCCCATAAATTGACTATAGAGACAATAAGTTAATGCCTCTTTCCATTTATGTTTTTTAATCTGTGTATTAAACTCAGTGGGACTTACTTTTGAGTAAATGTAATTAAGACTGGCCTATAAAAACCTCATTAGAATTCTTCACATTTATAAAGCCAATGAAAAGCTGTATGCCTTTGGGCATTTTCACCAGAACCTGTTCATATGTACTTGGGAAGGAAATCCCACTTAATTAAATTAGATTTCTTTTTAATTAAATGTCTGTTCGACTTCATAAATGTCCTAAGGAGAGTAATCCTGTGCACATTTATTCAGAAGTAAATCGCACTGCATTCCAGATAAATGTGCTATCTAGTTGCAGGCTTAGTCGTAGTTCATTGGTAGAGCATCTGGCATCTCTGGGTAAGTTAAGGAGAGGCTCCCTTTCTGAAACCTTGGAGAGCTGCTGCCAGCCAGTGTTGACAGTACTGAACCAGATGGAGCACTGGGTGTAAGGCAGTTTCCCACAACTGTTCAGTGGAAGTTCCTCATTCTGTTTAGATGCACAACCAGCAAATGCCACTCACTCAATGTCATTTGAGAAGCACATTACATTTGTGAAGGTGGGCACCCGGTTTTAAACTGGTTCCTTCTCCTTTCTGCCCCACACTGACTACCAATATTCACCAGTGACACTCTCAGGACTATCCAGTTATAAGCTGAACTGCCTTTTGCTCCAATTGAATACTAAAGCACGGTTTTCCCTGGGGGAATGCAACAAGGCAAGAGGAAGTGTGGATAAGCCTTGGAAAGCAGCTTGGCTCGCAAAGGGCTTCAGGCGCTGAAGAGCTCTCTCTCGCCACTGCTTCACAGAACTACACTTCCCAGCATTCCCTGCAAAGGGTGGTGCCTTCAGCTGTAAGTTTCCAGGCTGGGGGCTGTCCGATGACTGAGAGTATCAAGTTTCTCCCCTTTGCTAATCAGCGTCAGCTTCTCTCTTTTAGTAGGAAGTAGCAACTGATCTGTCCTGTAGATTCTCGCATCGCTAGGAAGGGGGCTGTTTGGATTCTTCGCTACTTGGAAGGGTGAGTAGACAGTTAAGAGTTGCCCCACTCTTAGCAACAAGTCATCTCTTTCCTGAGCAACGCCCTTTGCCAACTGTGACTGGGATGGGGGTAGTTTGATTTATTTTATAAAGTGTGTCGCACATTGAGGAAGAGAGCTAGCTGCGCACTGGGGGTGCTAAGTGCAGGAAGGAGGTCAGGCGGTGATGGCAACCGGTTGCAATTTTATGTCATGCGCTTGCCTTGTGTTTTGCTTTGCCAGTACACAGAGGAAGCAATCTTTCACTTGATCAGGCAACTTCTAGATTGGAGTACTACTTCTAAATTTTTCATGTCGGTGGCATGCTTTTTAGACATGCATCATTTCGCGATGCACTAATTCAGTTTTACTAGCAAGCCGGAGGTTAAACTAAGCCCTTTCCAGTCCTGAGAGAAGCATGGGGAGTGTTTGCGCAACACACCTACACACTGCAGCCAACACACTAACGTGTCGCGACACACAGTTTAGAAAGCTCTTTTCTAGATGTTGTGGACTGCAACCCTCACCAGCCCTGACAGTGGCTGATGGGAGCTTCAGCCTACAACAACAACATGTCACTATTCTGAGTGACACTGAACAGATCCACGCTGTACAAGTATGTGTTCTACCTCTACCTCCCATTCTAATTATTTAGGATAAAAGAAGTTGTGGGTTGGGGTAACAAGATTGTTTGTTTGTATTAAAGTGAGGTAGTGTTGGGAAAACTTACCTGCAAAATATCCATCATTATGATGGGTGGTGAAGAAGGGCTTCTAAGTATCTTAGCCGTGTTAGAAGTCCTTTTTCTGTGAGGCCCAGGCTGCCCAGCATGACGTTCTTTTCCCCATAAGAGTGAATGTCACACTGTTCAGTTCTGTGAGAAGAAATAAGGGCATGCACTTGGACCTCACATCTAAATTGTCAATGAGTGGTATCCAGTCTCCAAAGCAGGGGTAGCAATGTGGTACCCTATAACTCCCATCATTTCTGGCCATTGGCCATGCTGGCTGGGGCCGGTGGTGTTCCCTGATATCTGAAAGGCACCACGCTGCCTATCCCTGCTGTAAGGCATTAAATACATTATTACAGTCACAACATGGTTTAGGCGTTTGGAATGGAATATTCGTGTTGGTTCTGTCGTGTTACAGAACAGCTTGTGACCTGTTTAAACAGTGTGTGATCGCCTTTGTGTAACTTGCATGCCGAGCCTCAAGTTGCAAAGTTAAAAGGAAATGCTTTCTGGGGAAGCATTCGTCCCCCCACTTATAAAAAAAAATTAGGCATCTAGCACAGGAAATATGTAATGTCCCCCAACAGAAGCATTGGGATGGTGTGTTACTGCAGCAGTACATTGGTTGTGCTGGAGCTGGTAATCTGGAAGCAACTTGAAAAGAAACAGAAACAAGAATGTATAAGACGCAGTGTGGCGTAGTGAATAAGCACATGAGTTGGAAAGTCCAGGGTCAAATATCTTTTCCGTTGTAAACGGAAATCTTGCCTGTCTTGCAGTACTGTTGTTTTACTGCAAGAATATATATGAAGCATTATGAGGAGGGTTGTGAATTCAGAAGCAGCACACGTGTGTGTGTGTGTGTGTGTGTGTGTGTGTGTGAAGACCTGGGCATAATCCCACATATCAAATCTATGCCTGAGATCTTGGAGATTCCTTGTTAGTTGGCACAGAACACACAGGACCAACGGCCAGTATAGTAGGATGTGTAACTCGTGATTACCTAAAACATTTTTCATATTTAGCAAAGCAAGTCTCTGCCCTCCGCATTCTTTCCACCTACAATTTCAGCAATTATGAAGCACTTTCATAGATCGTTCATATACTGCATAAGTTACTTCCTATAATGTAGTGGTTAAGTTCACTGGTTAAAATATAACCTCTTCCATGAGTTCGCTAAGTGGTATTAGGTAAGCCACTCTCGTAGCTTTTATTCTACCCCACACACCTGCAATATGTATATGATAGTACTATCTTTTTTTGTAAGGGTGGCTGGGATTGTTTGAAGTACTTTTGAATGCCATGATAATAAAGGCTTGATGCTAATGTAGCTAAATAAGACAACTGTAGATGCTTGCAAGTTAGGAGTGATGCTATTAACCACTACTGGCAAACATATTTTCAGCTTGCACTGTTGTGGATCTCTCCTCCCCACCTCTCAGCTACTTGCATCCTCTGGATTCTTTCTAGACTGAAACCACTGCCTCTCTCATAGCCTTTATTCCCTTTCTAGACCTCTTTGTTTACCTTCCCCCTTTCATGTTCCTCTAAACTTGGCCTGCGTTCATTCGCAATGACATCCTGTTGACCAAAACAATCAGCATGCTTTATTTCAGCAGGCCATGCAGGCAAAACGTGGAGAAGCCCACTTGCCAGCTTGGGGAAAGAGAGCATTTGGGTTGTTTACTGGCTGGCCTAAGAACTTGTTTCTGTTTCCCCAAACATCCAAATAAATCCCCAAACACCATTCAAAATGAGATTTCTAAGAATACTCGGGCAATGAAATCAGCTACTGAAAGGGAAGCTCTTGGAAACTTAGGAAGGGGGGGGCACTTAAATGCTTGTCAAGGTTGCTTTAGGTATAGGTGGAGCCAACCTTATATTTGGAAATTCACCTGCTAGCCATAAATGGAATCCAACAGCCTATGCTGGCCATGGAAGAAGGTGGCTTTCCTTCCTCTGCAGTCAACATGGAGATGCAGTTTACTAGAAGGCTAGTAATAAAAACAGCCTTGTAGGCTAATAATTTTTACAGGCATATTTACAAGGCTGAGTCCTCTAATTGCTGGTACTAGCAGGGCTTCTGCAGATTTGTACTCCCAGGGACAGATTGCTCTGTCTTCCACTCTGCTGCCTTTGATGATCTCCAAAATCTGCTGCATCATGGGGCTACATGAGAAGTCATCCTCATAGTGCTGCTGGTGCCCACAGCTGCTTGTGACTGTTAGTAGGGGATTTTCTTCTGGTTGTGCAGGAAAATGCGAAACATGACAACTAGAGGCCAAGTTGATTTGAGATGGGGACTTTCCATGCATCCCAAATTGGTGGAACAGCATGTCCTCCAAGCATGTCACTTGCTGGCTCAGATTATTCAGATGTCTGAATTTTTGGTTTTGCAAAGCAGTTGATTGATTGGAATTCCTTGTGTGGCCTTTTGATGTGCTAGCACAGCAATATGCAATTGATGCTTTGGCTTCTCTACGCTAGTTCTGGATTGACCCCCCCCCCCAACTGTCTGGGTATATGAAAGCTACTTCACAATCCATGCTTTGTTCTACAGCAGGCACCCCCAAACTCAGCGCTCCATCTGGTACGCAGGCTGAGACCCTACCTGCCCGCGGACTGTCTTGACAGAGTGGTGCATGCTCTAGTTATGTCTCACTTGGACTACTGCAATGCGCTCTTATGTGGGGCTACCTTTGAAGGTGACCCGGAAACTACAACTAATCCAGAATGCGGCAGCTAGCCACCGAAACCATATAACACCGGTCTTGAAAGACCTACACTGGCTTCCAGTATGTTTCCGAGCACAATTCAAAATGTTGGTGCTGACCTTTAAAGCCCTAAACGTCCTCGGTCCAGTCTACCTGAAGGAGCGTCTCCACCTCAATCGTTATGCCCAGACACTGAGGTCCAGCGCCGAGGGCCTTCTGGCGGTTCCCTCGCTGCGGGAAGCCAAGTTACAGGGAACCAGGCAGAGGGCCTTCTCGGTAGTGGCACCTGCCCTGTGGAACGCCCTCCCACCAGATCTCAAAGAGAAAAATAACTACCAAACTTTTAGAAGACATCTGAAGGCAGCCCTGTTTAGGGAAGCTTTTAATGTTTAATAGGTTATTGTATTTTAATGTTTTGTTTGAAGCTGCCCAGAGTGGCTGGGTATAAATAATAAATTATTATTATTATTATTATTATTATTATTATTTACAATTCCCATCATCCCTGACCACTGGTCCTGTTAGCTAGGGACGATGCCTGTTCTACAGTAAGATCGCTAAGGCATTTCAGTGGATCTGCTCCTGTGCCTTTAAGAGAAGCCCCAACAAGTAGTATAGCTTGTGTGAGTTAGAAGGTAAAGTGTTGGTTTAGGACCAGGGAGACCCAGTTTCAAATTCCCACTCAGGCATGCAGCTCATTCAGTGATCGGTCAGTCAGCATCTCTCTGCCTCACTGAACACCCAATAGCTCTATAAATATTGAAGCGCAGTTGTTCAGAAACGGGGCCAGTGAAGCTTTTCCTGGCATGGATGGGGAAAGCTTCACCGGCTTCATTTCTGCGCCCGCCATTCTGCTGTTATGGCACACTTGGAGCAGTAAACAAGTACGTAGCTGTCTTCTGCCAAGCTCTGCCACTTGACTTGGACTCGGCATTCGGTGGCCTTATGGCACAGGTAGGTGGCAGGTGTGTCTCCTGAACCCTGCACCAGAGACAATTGCTGGAACTCGCATAGGGTGCGGCTCCTCAGTGACACATGGAAAGTGAAAGCTGCAGGCTATTGTGGTTCTGCTGTAGGCAGGGTATGCTGTTAAATGCTTTCTCAATTCCAGGAAACGGCAGAGCTGGCTGTTGGCTCTGTTTATCTCAAAGTTTGCCTATTCAGAAGAGGATGGAAATAAGCAGCACATAAAGAAGGACTGGCTTTGCTTTGTGCTGAAGAATGTTACGCACCTGAATCTCTCTTGCAGGGAGCTCTCAAGTCCTGGGATAGTAGAAGGAAGAGATCTAGAGGTTGTTCAGCAAGAGACAGGTGTGGGCAGGATGGGTGCTGTATCTTGTCTCCTTTTTCTATTTTGCTCTGCTTCTCTTTTTATTATCTATTTACTACATGGAGCTTAGGGACGCGGGTGGCGCTGTGGGTTAAACCACAGAGCCTAGGGCTTGCCGATCAGAAGGTCAGCGGTTCGAATCCCCATGACGGGGTGAGCTCCCATTGCTCAGTCCCTGCTCCTGCCAACCTAGCAGTTCGAAAGCACATCAAAGTGCAAGTAGATAAA